TACTGACACTAAAAGGTTTCTGGTTAAAGATTTTCCTGGAGGCTGCTAGAATTCTGGCTTCAGATTGACTCACACAGTCAGGGAAGGGGTTTCTCTCATTGACCATGCCTTTCCTGCCTTGATGTACCCAAAGCCAAACTGCTTGCTTGGAATTAAAAAAGCCAAATAGTCTTTTTGTTCCCCCTATGCAGGTCCTGTCTTCAAATGCAAATCCTTTGTTTTCTCAGAGTTTTGGGTAGGCCTTTTCACATGCAAATTTCCTGACTTTGAAGTGTCTAGGTGGGGCTCAGGTTTTCTACCTAAACCCCCTATACTGTACACACAGGGCTTGAAACAAAAGCTTGTGCTTTTTCTGGGTAAATTCTATTTCCCTTTTTGACATATCCAATCAAGTATTGGCTGAAGGCAGACTTACATGCTCTCTGTTATCCATACCTAATATTCACTTCTAAGATACAACTAAGAGAACATTAAATTTCCATAGCACATTCAGATAAATACATAATGCAAAACACATAAAAATTCCAGTTCCATCTCTTCACCTTGAGGATCTTCCCATTCTATGTATATGGCCTTGGGTCTCTGACTGGGTGTAATCAAAAGCCCTAGCCTCTGGATCAATTAGCTCCTTTATTCAGCCTGGCTCTTGCCTCAGGCCTTTCTCCCCTCAGCTGCAGCATATTGTTGTAGTTACCGACTCAAGCGACCCCTCCTTGGGTTTCTGAGGCAGTATCACTAGGAAGTAGATTGCCCAACCTCCCTTCCGAGGAGTGGCTTGTAGGTTTGAACTGCCAGCCTTCTGGTTAGTAGTCAAGTGCCTTAGGCACTATGCTACCAGAGCTCCCATGTCCCTTTAGGATCAGCATTGTATTCCTAGTACCTAGCACAGTGCCTGACACTTAGTAGATGATAAAAACAAAAAAAATCTGATAAATGAATAAAAGCTAATTTTGTATACTAGAGCAACAAAGAACAAATTTAATTACCTTTAAGTAATATAAGATTATCATATATCTAAATTTTCTACCTAGTTAAACTTTAAATAAAAAAATTTAAGTTAGTTAAATAATTAAGTTATAAAATCCAGAAGTTAAAAATACATGGTTGGTTGAACAATGTATCTAGTCTACACGGTTTTATAAAATGCATTAGCACCAAGGGAGTGGTCGCTGGGCCTGCAGGCTGGGGACCATGGTCACAGAGGACATCAAGCTCAACTAGCACAACATGGTATACAAAAATATTGTTCTACATCTTACTTTGGTGAGCAGTGACTAGAGTCTTAAAAGCTTGAGAGCAGCCATCTAAGTGGCAACTATTGGTCTCTCCTCATCTGGAGCAAAGAAGAGTGAAGAAAATCAAAGACGCATTGAAACAGTCTAAAGGACTAACAGACCATAAGAACCTCAATCTATATGATCCTAAGACTAGAAGAACTAGATGGTGCCAGCCACCAAGGGTAAACACTCGGAAAGGGATCAAAATTGGAGAGCCTGTAGAGAGGAGAAAAATGTGGAACAAAAGTCAAAATCATGAAAAAGACCAAGCTCACTAGTTTGATAGAGACTGGTCAAACCCCCAAGACTATGGCCCCAAGTCACCCTTCAGTCCTGTTATTGCACTTACTCCAGTGGCTCAACTCTTACTCAAACAATAGATATAGAAGAGTAGCTGTTCTAAACTTATTTGGATAATATGGTCTAAATAAAGAATTAAGAGGAAAAAAATAATAAAACACCTACATGATCTTTAGGAGCTCCAGTAGCATAATGCCTAAAGCACTTAACTGCTACCAGAAGGTTGGCGGTTCAAACCCACCAGCCACTCCTCAGAAGCAAGGCTGGGCAATCTACTTCTGTAGTGATACCACCTCGGAAACCCAAGGAGGGGTTGCTATGAGTTGGGTCCAACTCAACAGCACATAACAACAACAACAACACATGATCTTTGATACACCAGTGTTTATTAATCTATGTTAAAATGGAATTTGTACTAATGTTGATTCCATTTGGGATATTTCTAGTCTCTAACACAATGTGGTACTTCCTTATTTGTGGTATTACCATGTTAAAGTACCACTGAAAAGTCTCTGAATCTTAATTTCTTGTTGGCCATACAGAGCCTACACAATAAATCCTATCTTAGATTTTAGAAGTTACTTATCATAAAAAGTCAATTATTTACATATCATTAGAAACATATGTAAGGTTAAAGTTAAGCACAATTTACCAACTATAATGAAATAAAACATTTACATTTATTTTTAAGGGTCAAATAACTATTTTTAAGAAAAATGTAACTTTTTGTTTTGGGTATTTTTGGTGGGGCACTTAATATACATTAGCTTACTGCAGTGTAGTAAATTACTTTGTGTGGCTTTTCTACCCATAAGTCTTTGTAAACTCCAAGGTGGAATTTGCTATGAGCAACTGAGGAGCTCCTGATTGCTGAAGGTGTCCACCTGGAGTATTTCTGTTGGGAGTGGCACAAAACAATGTTCTGGGAG